CTATCATGTGCTGCTTCACAGGCAGCACAATAAAGTTTTACTGTTTGATTATTGCTATCCCCTTTGGTGTTGGGTCACCTTAATTTTGCACTTTTGACATCGTAGCAAATGAACCATCACGAGTCCACTGAGTGGACTGTGACACTCTGCTCAGAGGTGAGAGCCTACAAGGCAGCGATGGCCATAGTCCAAGAGTGAGTGGGACTGCTGAGGCTCAGCTGGAGCAGAGCAGCAACCCAAGCTCACAAGCCCGCACGGAGCAGGGGTGCCATACAAGATGTAGTGAGAGGAATGCTGCCTGGGCTGGGCCCTTCCCTTCTGCAGAGAAAGATGTCAAGATCCATCACTTGCGTGAATACCTCGGGGTGAGACACATCCACGTGCTCCTGTGCAGTGGACAACTAGGAATGAAGTGGAGGTGGGACTGTTTAGTTTAAAGAAGAGAAGGCTGAGGGGAGACCTCATCACTCTCTACAGCTACCTGAAAGGACATTGTAGAGAGGTTGGTGCTGGTCTCTTCTCACAGGTGATTAGCGACAGAACAAGAGGGAATGGCTTTAAACTCCAACAGGGGAGGTTCAGACTGGACATTAGGAAAAAATTTTTCACTGAAAGAGTGATCAGACAGTGGAATAGGCTGCCCAGGGAGGTGGTGGAGTCACCATCCCTGGATGTGTTTAAGGGTCGTTTAGATGAGATGCTGGGGGATATGGTGTAGGGGAGAACTTTGTAGAGTAGGGCTGATGGTTGGACTCAATGATCCTAAGTGTCTCTTCCAACCTGTATGATTCTGTGAACAGTAGGTGGATCACGTTGAGAAGGAAGGATGGGGTATTTACCAGGAAGCCCCTGTCAGCAAGACAGCAAGGAGCTGATTTTGCATTGGATGTGGAGTGGGTACCAGTGGGCGGCAAGTCAAGGACTGGGAGGAATTTCAGAGTTGAGGGTGCAGTTTCTCTTTCCACCTGCCTCCAGGGCTTGGTGCTCCCGGGGCCCAAAGCCAGCCATGGGCATGGCCAGGGCCCCTTGCTCTGCCCTGGGGGCAGGAGGCTGTGTGAGTGGGAGGCCGGCCGCTGGCAGCTGCTGGAACAGGCACCACAGGCAAGGCAACGCGGTTGGTTTTGCTCCTCGCGCTTCTGCTGTGGTGTTGAAACAGCAGTTGTGAGTCGGTCTTCACATATAGTTAAGTTTGTCATGTTGGTATCTTTGACTCAGTAGCTGGGTGTAATTTTGTCTTCACCTGTTTCTGTTCGCCTTTCTCTGTACTGTACTCTCTCTGCACCGATCATCTGCAGTGGTTTGAACCGTGGCTGCAAAGGGGGATCATATTTCCTTTAAGAAGATGGAAACTCGCTGCTTACATGTCATTTATCATTTGTCCCATCCTCAAAGCTTCAGACATCCAGCTATTAAACACAGGGAGAGCACGAGCACCCTTAAAATCTAATCAGGAAGGTATTTTGAAGACTGTTGTGTGGACTACATCTAGCAAGGGGAAAGAGCTGTCACTCAGCACAGATCTGTTCTAAATACTGCGCTCCGGAAGACAACTGACAATTGTAATGGGGCTAATTCTTCTAGCAGCATTGGCATAACACCATCAGGGCTGTCTGGCACTGCACAGGATATTTCTTCCATGAAAGAAAACTAATCCTAGGCAAGATGGTTTTAGTGTGAGTTATGTTCCTTAAAGTGCTATTACAGCAAGTAAAACAAGTGGCATCGTTTCTCGGTGTTTTAAAATAAGCTACCCTGAAATCAATATGGATTTATTCCTTGTCTCTTCCCACAGTATCCAGAAGGATCCTTCCATTCCTCTTTCAGACAAAAATGTATCTTCATTTAATGCATATTATGTATTGCACCTGCTGTAAAACAGCATGTGCACTTGATTGACTGTCTTGAACCGATCAGTCCCTGCCCCTAGGCAATTCCGGCTGACTCAGTGGTGATGAATAGTGCCCCTTATGGATCTAGAGCTAACTGTGATGCTAGACTTAACAGATTCTGTTTTTCACTAAATGATGATTTAACTTCCTTTTTCATATGAAAGTGTGATTTCTGTTCATATTTTTTTTTCATTCATACTCTGAGCAATGCCTGACTTTTTTGTTTAATGTGCATGAAGTCTTGCCTTGTTTAGTTGTATAAGATGTCCAAAGGCTGCATATAGTGGCTTGGATTTTTCAGGACTTTAGGGTTTGCAGTTTAAAAATCAGAAGTCAAATTTGGTTGTAGTGGGAGTTAGTTGAGCTGGAGCTGTATGGAAAGATGATGGCCTTACTTGTGTTTTTCCATAGCAGAAGCAGGTACTTTTCAAAGCACTTCAGCTAGCAGGGACAGAGTGTAAATTTTGCTTATTTTCGGTGGTGTCTTCATGGTTCTGAACCTCTTATCCAGACTCTACATGAGCCGTAACTGGCTAATTAAAGCAGGGTTTAGGTCAGCTACTTTTGGTTTCAGTGGGGGATAAATGCATGTTTTGGAGCAACTTAAGGAGGAATGGCTTTTAGGGCAGCAGTTTCTTTGAGCAGAGGCTTTGGGGCAACTCTGGCCCAGAAATGGAAGCTTCACCAAGAAATGGCTCTGGAGCAAACCAAAATGTTTTGCGCATCGAAGTGTCACTGGATTCTGGGTTCTCCTGAAGGCTGTAGCTACCCTTTCGAAGAAAGAGCCTTATTCCCAAGGGACAGCTCTGCCAGCCCAACAGCGGCGCACTTGGCCTTGTTAGAGGAAACTTACTGTCTTGAGGGGCGGGCACTCAGCTGGCTCATTTAAATAAGAACGAGTATAACAGAGCAGGGAGTCCTCTCTTACTGGTTTTTACTATTGCAATAATCTGATATGCACAGTTATGCTAACAGAAATGTTATAACTGTTTCTGATTATCTGACCGACTCTTGCACTGCTCACTGTAGTACTGCCCAAATAATGGCCCATTAGCCAAGACCAGAGTGTGTCAGAAACGAGTCTGGATTCACTCAGGGTGGTTCTTAAATCCAAATCTCAGGCTCCTGGGAGAGTTGCTCCCTGCAGGAAGAGATGCAGATACTATCACTAGCCCACAAACACTTCATTAGTATTAAACCTTACACTACAGGCCGTGAGATTGGCTGTGTTTTGCTAAAAACAGATGATTATTTTGAAAAAGGGGAGGGGAATTGATGGCAGGCTTTACAGCTGGCACGTCGCTTTTATGCTCTTTCACATTGTCAGAGTTTTTCACTGAATCTTTGTATCTGAGAGTAGATAAGTAGGTGATGAACAACAGCTGCTGATAGCTGTGGGCTTAAGGTTTGAGAAGGGTGACATCAGAGTTCAGAATGACCTGTGCTATATAACAGGTGTTTAATTTTTAAGCTTCTAAAGTCTACACCTTTTAGGTCCAGATTTTTTTCTCTTTCAGGCATCAAACCCACTTTTGTGCTGGGTTTAGTGCCTCGGTGCCTGTCTTCTATACTAAGTAAAACTGACAGTGTGGACAGCTCATGTTTGTAGCAGGCTGAAGTGTGCTTATCTAGCGTGCTGAGGGGGGCAAGGACGTGCTCGCTCACTGCCGCTGTGCATTATCATTGTCTCAGATTGCTGAGCACTGTCAGGCATATTTAAAAATAGAAAGGTTCTACAGGCGGTTGGTTTTTTGTCCTGCTCACTGGTGACTGAGCCTGGATGAGCTGCTTGTAACATAAGATCGGTCCTGATGTACCTCCTTTCATCGAGGCTGGGCCCCTTCAAGCAGATCTGCTCCAGAAGGGAGAGAGAAAATGCTTTAAGCCTTCTGCTCGCATCTGAAAATGGGTTTGGCAGGTATCATATAGCAAACTTCCTTCCCCCTTACTGTATCTGCGTTGTGACTGAACAGTCCCTGGGGAAGAATTGGGTTATATCGGAATATGGCAGCGCTCCCTGGCACCACAGCAGATGTCTGCGCGTGCATGAGAGAGGAGAGGGGATTATCTGCAGCTCTGAAATAGAAGGCCACCCAGGGGACAGAAGTGAGGCAAAACCAAATGGCCAGAGATCAAGACCTGTGCAAGAGGGAGCACGGTGGTGCCTGTAAACAGCTGTTGCTGTCAGAGGTGAGCTGACTCCCCTTGAATAAGCAACCTTTTTCCAATATGCTGCACCTGAAATAAGTTTAGGGATGGTCTTCTCTGAGAAGAGTCTATTTTAGACAAAGCAAATGATTCTGGATTTTCTCCCTGTCTATTCAAAACAGACTGGTCTGAATCACACAAGAGTTTGCAAATGAGAACGCTAATTTTGACTAATGAAAGCCTTTACAAGTAAATGTAGAATTAGCACTCACTACTAATCTGGAAGCAAGAATTCAAGTGCAGCTTGAAAGTGTAAGGCAGCACAGCAGTCAAACCTTGTGAGTGCTCCTCAGCCGTCCTCTGTGGTCACACAGATGTGGAAGCACAGAAGGCAGAGGAAGGGGAGCGAGAGGTCTCATCTCTGCTCAGAAAAGAGATCCCCAACCCGTCTGCCCTAATGATTTTCTGTCATGGCGTACCAAGGGGCCTTCAGCACAAAGACTCCGATGTGCCCAGCAGGAGCGTTCGCTTGCCTTCTGTGAAAGAAACTACAGCCTATTCTTGAGTCTAAAGCCCTGTGGGATGGAGCTGGGTTCTGCTGGAGTGACTCTTATTTAACAGCTTCCATCTCAATTAATACTGTGAAATAATACTAATCCATGCAATTGTTACTGGTGGATTATATTTCCCTGTGCTTGCAGGGGTAGGGAAGTATATCAGAAGTGACTGGAGGACAAAACCCTACTGAAATCAGTCATCTGGATACAGTTTAAGAGTGTTTGAAGCTCAACTGCACACACTAGGGACCGTTGCTGGCAAAAACATACAGCCCTTCAAGTTCAATTTTCTTTGAGCAGTTTGCCTTCAATCTGACCTTTGTAACGGCTGCAGTACAGAATCAATAGGGTGAGTAAAATCTCACTTATCAAAAAATTGGATAATACCTGTGTGTTTCTTCAAAGTTTTAATGCAAGTTTCTTTTAATTTTGAATTAATCAAATTTTTATTCTTTAGGAGCAGGTATTTACAATAAGCTGCAGGAGCAGTGCAAAGCCACAGTGTCTTGAGCCCCTCCAGGGCTCTGATTTTAGTTAAGAGTACAAATTCAGTGCAGAGGTACCTTGGGCTATAATCACTCTCACCCAACCCCTCCTCCTGGTTGGAGCTACAGGCACCCGTGTGTTTCAGCTGCTCCTCCCGTGTTGCTGCCCCAGGAGCCTGGCACGGGGAGCTGAGCTTCCTCACAGCCCAGGCTGGAAGAGAAAGGCAGCCAGCAGTAAGCTGGCTAGTTTAAAGGTACTGTAGATCATCGATGCTGATTAACTGACACACTCATGCAAGTTAGGTCTTGCGTGGCTGTTCCCCATTATTTAGGTGAGGAACCTCACACCTACACCGAGTTTTACGGCTGCCATGAAGAAAAGCCTTTCCTAACAATTAAACTGTTATTAGTTATGTTATTAGTTGTAAGGTCTATTTTTCAATTTTAGAGCAAGAGTCAGGAATAATACAGAACAGATTTTAGAAGTTTGTGCTCAGGGCAGAAGATAACCAAGTAATCTTCATGCTACTTTCTTAGCCTAGCTGAACAAAATAAACCCAACCCAAAATCAGTAGGTCCCTGCAGCAGTATCTCATTGAAATACGCTGCATTTTTCTTGCTCTCCTCTCTCACATCTGGTCAAGAATAAGATCTAATTACACAGACTACAGGAGACTCAGTAGAGCCTGTACGTGTGCTAAGCTATAACCATTTATCCTGCTGTTTGTTAGGGGAGTTGGTCGCCTTCCTTTCTCCAAAGGTGCTCTTTCTCTACTTTCCCAACAAACTGCAGAATATCTTCAGCAAGAAGTTCCGGTTCCTCCAAGGCTGCGAAGTGGCCACCTCGAGGCATGAAATGGAAGGAAACTATGTTGGTGTATTTCTTCTGGGCCCAAGCCTGGGGTGTGTGCATGACTTCATTAGGGAAGGAGGCAATGCCAGTAGGTACTTGTACTGTGAGCCTGAGAGAGGAGAGAGAATAATTTTAATCTTTCAAACACTTAACTCTGCAAGAAATGGAAAGTCCCATGGCAATGTTGTTAAACAGTTGGGCACACTGTTGTTAGGCAATTAAAATTCAACTTCCGGGTCCTAGATTTGAAGACTAGACAACACTCCCATTCCTGGGGAAAAAAAAATACCAAAATTTTTGCACACATTGATAATAAGGCAATTTTGTAAGGGAGCTGGGGCCTGAGACTTAGAAGAATGGATGGAAACTGAGAAGAGAGCCCTAGGACGTGGGGGGTATCAAGTTTCCTCATGCTGCATTCAGGGCTCAGGAGTCATGTATTGAGGGGAAAGCACACAATTTGACAAGGGCTGGAGAGAGATTTTCAGTGAAGATTACAACTGGAACATGTTGAGCCTGGCAGGACAACTGGAGGGTAGGCAGGGGAAAGAATTATCTTGAACTGCTGCGAAGGGGGAGGAGAGGGGAGGAAGAGTAAATCTAGACTAGGTCAGAGGAAGCATTTCTGAACGTGAGACTGTACCCTGTAAAGTAGCTCTTGCTTTTAACTGGCATGAATGCACTCTGCAGAACAGTTTGCACATTAGTAAGTGTGGGAAGCAACTGGATATGAGGAGAAAAGTATCTTAGACAGTGGAATGATGCACACTTGTTATAAACAGAGCAACTTTTTCTGGGTTTAAATACCCCAATGCACATAAGTTGCACTGTCAGAAGTGACAGACTTTAAAATGTAGATACAAAAATTGTTGGGCATGTAACCACTAGAAACCTGAAAACAGGGTGCCTCATTTTACAGAGGACTTTGAGACTCTCTCCTCTAGGCACACAGCAGCTCATATAGCTCATCTCATGTAGGCAGAACTGGAGCAGGATACTGCCCACAGCATAGCCACAACAGCTTCGAGAACTGAGTCAGCTTCTTGGGAGCATCATTTCACAGCTAAATAAATACCACAGCAGTGAGCTGTGGTTGCAGATACCTTAGGGCAGGTTTAAGCCTTCACTGATACTCAAGCTGACACAAGTATATGCAGCCAAGCTGCTGTCTTAAGTGTCTGCGCAGCAGTAACATCAGTCTTACTGACTTTCAAATTATGCAGTTTGTTGGTCTACTGAAGTTGCTTCCAAAGGTAGGACTTAAATCTTTTGCAGAAATAGGCAAACTGTGTCCGGAAAAGTACTAGAACTACAAACGAAATAAGCTATAACAAAACTGACTGCATGACTCAGTCACAGGCTAATTTAGTAACTGAAGTAAAATCTGGAAGTACTTGTACGTGCTTTTTCCTAGTTGGATACACCGTGAATGGGAGGTCCTCAAGCAGTGCCTCCAGTCAGTTCTCCCTAATGATGGTTCAGGATTCTTACCTAATCACCGTGTTTTCCAAGCACAACACAGTACATTAACTAACAGACCTGTCCTGCAGAGGAACACTGTGATAGAGCATCGATTTTCCTTAGCATTCGGGAACTTGCAGCAGCTGTAAGACATAAGCAACCTCTCTGCAACAGTAAAATTAAGTTCAGGGCAAAATAGTTAAAAACATCCACTACTTACCTTTCATGTTTCTGTGTGCCTATCCCCTTCTGCAAATTTTCCTTGTAAAAACGCATTGAGGAGACTATGGAGCCTGACACCCAGTAGATCATGATATTGGTGAGCAGATCATCCAGGTTGAACTTCCTGAATAAGTAAACGCAGAGACTGCTTAGTTAGAACCAAACACCATTTTGCATTACTTTAGCAGGGACTTGACTTTGGTTTGGTTGTAAGAAAAAAAAAAAGTTACAGGAAAATATAGCTAACTTGTTGAAGAAAAAGCGTTGAGAGGTGAAGTATGCTACCCCCTCTATCTGTCAGTGACCAATTAAGCACATTAAAGGCTTTCAGACACAAACCAAGAAGTGATATTTTAACTCCTAGATGGAAGGCAGACTCAAGAGGCACCTGAGGCTCCAGCACAGCTGTCGATACTGTCCGTAGACTGGGAGGGCAGGAGCAGAAGAAGGATGTAGAACAGCTTGTGCCATTTATTATTAATAATTTGAAATGCTACCATGAGCCTTCGATAGAGCCATCACACCAACACGTGCTGTAAACAGTGCATGTTTCCTATAAGATGAGCTGTATGCAGTGCAAACATTCTATTCAAATCCATTGTCACTGGAGCTTTCCAGAACATGCCCCTTCACTCCATTCCTGCCAGGCACCTCAGCAATTCGCAAAGGCGACTTCATCTCAGGTTTCTGCCACACACTAAGAATGATCCTTCCTTAGCAAGCGGTAGGTAGATGAAGCAAATTCTGATCAATCTAAAGCAAATTCATAGTTAGGTATTAGTATTAAAAAGAATCATGAGTTCTGTTTCTCAGCATCTTAATGTAGGTTAAACTTTTGGTTTCCTGCGCAAATGAGATTCTTCCACCTAAGTCAGTTCAATACCCAGCAGTTGCAGGGTGTATCTTTTCCAGAAGATCAAAGTGGCAAGGGAGTACATGAGCCTTCATGGTCTGTTTGCTTCTTTGCATGCTGTAGTACAGCACTGTACCATCTGTGGTCACTACAGGCTCCCTACCAGTTGTGAGGCGATCAATCCAGCCAAACTTCTTTAGCTATGACTGGGCTTAGTCACCTCATCCAAAATGGCATAAGAGGAAACACTTACCTCCCTAGTCCTCCATCCTCTAAATTACGGAATTCCAGATCAGTCCATGTAGAAAACTTCTCCAAGATGTATGCGGCCAGTCCTACAGGAGAGTCGTTCAAACCACAGCCTGGAAAGGAGGACGAAAATGTAATTAAAATGGCAGTATCCGACTACTGAACTCAGACTGTCACAGAAGCGGCCCATTAGAATACAGGGTAGATAACTTTACAAAGCTGTTCCAGCAGCTGTGTTCTTAAATAAATAAAATAGTGGAACAAGTTGGAGCCATTTATTGTTGAATCATAAACTGATAGTATCTGCAAACCAACAGGCTCCACATTAGCTCAGACTGTATGTTTTTTTGAACTGATGTAACAGTATTGGATTTCTGCTGGCTTCTTTTTTTTTTTTTCTTGTAAAATAATAAGATTAAGCTCTATGTGCCAAGTAGTGTTAGCTTCCATTAATCTGGAAGTTGTCACTTATTAAACAGCATTACAGGGCCAAACCCCACATGCCTACACATGACCAGGAGAATTTGCACCATTATCTAGCAGCAAAAACATTTTAAGGATTATTAGAAAGTCATTAAGGAAGAGCAAGGCTCTACTAAAAGGTCCATCCTCTGAATTAACAATAGCCAACTGTCTTCATGAGAACAAGGGTTGTTTTTTTTTTTTATGGTTTGTTTTGCTTGGACAGAAGAAACACACCTGCTCCTGAAACTTTGCTAATATGTCCTAGTGCTGTGAAATCCAGGGACCATAAACTGTCCCAGCTGCTCGGAAAAACCTTAGAAAAAGCTTTTCCTGAGGAACAGCAATATATATTTGAAGTTCCAGCCATGCAATCCAACCTTTCTGAAAGAAGCCTAACACTACAGCTAGCACCATTTCATCAGCAACTGCTATTTAAACATGATAATTGACTTTCTGTTATTAAACAACTAAGGCTGATAACTGAAATACCAAATGTTTGAAAGAGTTATATTGAGCATGCTTCCCAGATCTGCAGAACTGGACAAGCAATAGTCTATTCTCATAGACATGCTGTGAACAAAGAAGAGTATGTTGGTTTACATATAGGAAAAACTGACACTGATCCTAACAGTACTTTGAATACAGGCGCTGCCTGTTTCAGTCCATTGAAAATGAACCCACACTCCATGCAGGTTTCCCAAGGAATAAGTGTAAAATCAAATCCACGCAAGCCAGTCTGATTAAAAGCCAGCTCTGAAGCAATTGAGTATAGTATTAGCAAGCACAGTACAGATATATCAAGAGCCAGAGACCGCTACCTCGCTTTGGACAGCTTGCAAGATAGCCCTGTACCACCAGAAGACTGTGGTAGCCTCCATGGCTGCGCTTCTTCCAGCTACCTTACGCTCCCTTCTTCAGAGTGGTTTTCCTCCCTGTGGGAACCTGCCACCTGCCACGCTCTTCTCTTCTTTGTCCTCAGAGCTGCAGGAATGCTCCTGCTCCAGCTCCCAAAACACGAACTGGCTGCTGGTTCCCAGTCTGCACAGTCCGCTCTGACAGACCACGCATTACTGGTGGGGACAAGAATCAGCCAGGAAACCAGAGCAGAAGGAGCATGGCTAGGCATCTTTCAGCCACCAGCTTCCCCACCTTTTCTTAAAGCACAAAAGGAATTAGAGACTAGTAATTTTTAGAAACCAAAGCTCAAAGGAAGCAAAATTATTTAAAATCCATACAATTACCATTTTGCCTACACATTAAGAATATGCCTTGCTTCTGTAGGTAAGCTTATGGAAAATCATTAAGAAAGTTTCCTCAGCTGTGTTTTTAATAAAATCCATGAGTGAACTGCTGCCACACTAAACTAAAATATATTCATTATTTCTAACTCAGTCGTCCAATTCAGTTGCAAAGATGTTTTCAAAACAGACACACTTAATACTCAGATACTTAAAGCAGTTAAGCAATCTGACTGCCTCATCTAGAAAGAACATTCATAGGTACACTGTTTTTTTTTTTTACTTGAAAGTCTGCAAGTGATTCAGAACAATGAGTGAAAACAAAATTTGATTTTATACTTTTCAAGTATTACTTATCCCTACAAATAAGCTACATTGTGTGCTGAGACAGCTAACAGCTTCTTGTAGTTTACATCATTTGATTGTGATCCATTCTCTGTGAAGAAACTATCTTTTGCTCTCAGCATAGCTGCATTTGACATAGAATTACAGTCTCCAGTGATAGCAGAAGTGGAAAAGTATTAAACTATTTTATTTACGAAAACTGAAAATTAGGTCAGAGCCACTTAGAGCATGCTCAGTTTTCATGTGCAGATTTACTGCTTCTGCACACAAAAGTGAGTGTAATACTATGCACACATATGTAACTTTTTCTGGCTTGCATACAGAAAAGGAGCCCACCTTTTATAACCTCTAACCTTCCTACTTCAGTTTCCCTGAAAAAAGCCACTGATTGTCTGCATATTTTAAGTAGTAATTTTTTTTTCCTATGAAAGTACAAGTAAAATGAACAAACTAAGTATTCTGAGCTCAAAAGGTTGGTTTGTTTGTTTGTTTGTTTTACCAACAGTATCAGGCTTTGTAGCCTGTATGTGAGCATAGCCAGACTCCAGCAAGATCCTGTAGAGCCCTTTTTTCAAGAAGGGAAACATCCGCCTAACATCTTCGTCCTGGAAACCGAAGAGCCCTGGAAGATAGCGGCCCAGCAGCACGGAGAGCAGGTGAAAGAATCCCATCTTCGTAACTGAGGCTAGATTTAAATGGAGACCTTTCACATGGCTAAAAATAAAAACAGAAAAATCCCCCACAGATTAACAAAAATAAAATGTGATTCAAAGTTGTTATATTTAAAATGTTATTAACAAAAGGGGACATACTTGAATTTGACCTGCTAATTACATCATGATACATAGCTGTACTTTGTAGTGTGGCTTTTCACACAAAAATGACAAGTCAAAGGGGCAACTGTCAGCAATCAGTACACACTCCTGGGCACTAATCCACAAATCCTCCTTCTGTTACAAGTACTTATTCCAATTCAGACCCCCGTGGGGCCATTGCAAAACTACTGCACAACTGTTTGAAAGAAGAGGCATATAGTGCAAAGGTATGTCATTTTGGATCACTGCTTAACGCTGAGCACTGAAGAGAGAAACTACACAGTGCCCATATAAGGACTTGGACAGGAACTCTCAAAAGTGCACAAGAAATAACTATTCAAAGAATAAAACAGCTTTGCATGCCAGTCATACAGCACTGTACCAAAAGGGAACTCACTTGGGAGCAATCTGGGCCAGATTGGTGCAGATGAGCCAGCCCCAGTCACCACCTTGTGTGTAGAAGTCCTTGAATCCCAGTCTGACCATCAATTCATAAAAAACAGAAGCAGCACTTACAGAATCAAAGTCTGCATTAAAAGAAAAAAGAACACTTGCATTAATTCCAGCTATGCTTCTGACTGTGCAGCATTTATTCTCCCAATAAAGGCAACGTTCAACTTCCTAAAAAGCTACAAGTCCGTTTTTCCTTGCCTGAGAGACTATATGGAAACCCTTGTCACATCATCCAGGCAAAGTCTAGAGAGCAAGCAGAAACTCTGAGGACAAAGTCCAGCCTTCACTGCAGACTTGTGTTCTCCTAACCCCATCAGTTGGTTGCCCACATGCCCCACCGAGGGGTTTCCAGAAACCCTTTAAACTGTAGTCATACACCAGCTGAGCCCTCTCAGAAGCACAGAGCATTGCCCAGGGAATATGTTTCCATTTTGTCTACTGTCAGCACAGTCTTGTCTTAATGATACTCAGAAACTTTAATTTTCCACTAGTAATGCACTTCTGCACTCCGCTAAACACTGACCACATAAATCATAACCAGGGAAGCAGAGAAAAGCAAAACCAACCTTTCCCACATCGTTCACCTGCACACATAATTAAATACTAAACTCAGTATCACTACTTTAAATACTACCTTGCTCCAATTTGTTGCAGCTTGTGTTTGTGTAATTCAGAGCACAAGCTGAGCAAGCAGGTATTTGGCTGCAGTCTACCATGTAGATATATGAACTGATTTGTTCCAGCTGTTACTTCTCACCTACTGTATAATGCCGTTGAATATGGATTCAAAACATCCAAAAGACACAGTAACAAATTAAGTTTACTCTTCCTGCTCACCGACCCACAATTCACGGACTCAATTACAATTAATGAGCTGTCACTTTGGAACTTTTTATAGTCCTTTGAAATTATCTATACATTGCTCCTGAGACTAATTAATCGTGTCACCTGAAGTCACACTGAGATCTCCCTCTTCCCACATGACACACAGGATCTTTGTTTCTACACTGGGAAAACAGGAAGAGCCAGGAGTTACTAGTCTGCTAACAGGGGCCAGCTCACTGTGAGACTAGGCTTGTGTTCAGTTTCTTCTCGTCATACATCATACCTTTTTTGTGTGGTGCTTCGGAGAAACCATAACCAGGGATAGATGGGCAAATAACTTCAAAAACGTGTTCATCACTGAGGCCATGGCTTGCAGGATCCGTCAGGAGAGGGATAATTTTGTAAAACTCGTAAAATGAGCCAGGCCAACCATGAACCATTAATAATGGCTTTGCAGACTGGCCTTCAGGCAAATGAGGTGGCTTTACGTGAACAAAATGGATATCAATGCCTGTAAAAACAAAATAATTAATTAACATGCCCGAATTTACCACAACACTGAAACTAATCATGGAACAGATTATTAATAAATCTTTTCTAAAGTCCTTTTTGGGTGAGCATGCAAACACACTGCACTTTTCTGGATCCATTTATCCAAAGACCTTAAAGTACTTTATAATGGGCAATTCAGCATCACAGCAGCCAAATGAGGTCGGCGTATTTCTGTTTTAAAATAAATTGGCAAATTAAGACACAGAAGTGAAGCAATCTACTAACGGTAACACAGTGACTCACACAGCTTAAAGGCAGAAGAGACAATTACATCATTTAGCCCAAGTGCCCTTAAATTTTACCCAAATGTCCCTATATGGCACCAGATAGGCTTCAGCCAACCACAGATTTTTCTTTCTGAAAGTCATACAATTGCAACTTGAAGGCATCAAGAAACAGGGAATCCATCATAACTAGCAGCTGTTTGTTTGGGGGCATTACTCACTCTCCTTGTCTCATGCATGCCTTACTTTCCATTTAAGCTTCTGTCTCCAGCCATTGATCCTAATGTTACAGCAAAAGGAATTTTAAAAGCCTTCAGTATGTATTCTGTGTCTATGGAGGCCTCCTGTAATCAAGGCAGAAATCTTAACTGCTGATAAACCAAACATGCTGAATCAAAGATTGAAAAAATGACTTCCTAAAAGTTAAGTGTTCAGTTTTGTAGATCTTTTTTACCTTTTGTCCAAAGCTTTCAGTATCTCTTTAAGTGAGTAAACCAAAACAAGCAACTACATTCTAGGACCGGTCTCCTCACTGTTAAGTAAAAAGGTAAAAATTGCAGTCTATTTCCTTTGTGATCCCTACAATATGTAAGCAGTAGGCTTCACACAGTGTTGCACTAGTCACTCCAGGTGAACTGCTTTTCCTCAAATCTATTCAGGGCTTTGCTTTCCAGGAAACAATAATTTGCTCCTAGTAGAGCCTGAATGCCTCACTTCTTGATGTATTTAAGCACATTTTACTCACATCAACTCCAGCTCACCAGCAATCCCACCCTCTTTCACTGACTGTGATTTCCCCATCCTTGACAATTCTGTGGATTTCTGTAGTCTCTGAATAGCTTTGAAGTGATGACAGAAGCTAGGAATCTGATATATGGCATGTTTGATCTTGTCTTTTCATGTCTCATCTCTATAATCATTCCTAACGCTGAAATTTCTCTTCCTATTGCTATACATAGTGCATTGTCCTTAGCTTCTTTTCCCTTTCTTGTCTCATGATACTATTTTTTTCTTTTTTAAGAGAAGACATTTTGCTTTTATCTTTTTCAGCACTAGCCATGTTGGTTTTCAAATAAAATCTTTATGTGCTAACCACTATGTAACAACTGTTTAATGTCCCAAATCCATTTAAAATATTATGAACTGCCCCATTTGAAGTAATGTACAATTATGGGTGCAAGTACAAACATAATAGCATAGTCTCAAGCTTGAATTTTGCCATCATGTGAGGCGATTGCCTGCTGTGCTCTAAATCTACAACTGTACCCCTGAATGACCCAAGCACAACCCTAATTTAAGCATTTAAAACATCCGGTTTGACCAAGCTCCAGCACCAGCAGACCTTAGCTGAATGGCCTCTTTCACAAGGTGTCTGTTCTTTGAATGAAAAGACAAACATTCACTCACACCTGGCAGCAGATCAACCCCAAGGGAAAGGCATTCTGCATTTCTGGGGCTGTGAATGCTTGAAATGGTGCAGCAGAGTGCATCTGCCCTGCCACGCAGGGACAACGTGAGCAGCCAGCACACCCAGCCGAGGAGGGCTGCCAGGCTGGTGGCATCACCCTGACAGTGGCAGCTGGGGAACTACGTGGAGCAAGAGGCAGCATCTGTGGGTATTTCTGCGTGACTGCATGCAAGTCAGGGAACACGTGTACATCTTAGGATCCAGTTCTGTTCCCAAATGCCTGTGCTTGGCTCCTGTTAACACCAGCTGACAGCCCATCCACGCACAAGGGAATTCCATTTGTCATTCCATGTCCTAAAGGCTTCAGTTACGATGAAGGGGTTTCTTGCTGCTTCAGCAGCAGTACCAGTGGTCCACGCCACAGCAGCACAGCCCATGCAACACAACCACGGCATTCTTACTGCTGAGATCCCTTTAGACAAAATTATGTATTGCTGTTTGCTTGTTTTTTAAGGGAAAAAAACATGCACCTTGAATCTTAGTTTTGAATTGCGGGTACTTGTTAAGGACTTCAACTTGTTTCTTCCAATTGAACTGGTTTTTCCAGTAGGAGACAACCTTCCTGAGATACACTGAGTTAGTCCCATAGTGGAAGCAACTGTTCTCCAGGGGCTCAGCGAATCGAGCCTGGTCAAGTCTTCTAAATAAGTCCTAGAGGGAAAGAGAAAGAAGAGACATACAAGCACTTGTGTCTGCCATCTTGTGCTCCACTGTGCATGGTTTCTAGTTTTTCCCCAAGTGAAATGAGAACAATGAAAAAAACATCTCTAATGACACCTGTGCATTTTGCTGACGCTCCATCAGCTGTTCCAATGCTTTTTCTCCTCCAGATGGCCTCCTTCCTCTTCCATTCACAGCTGTTCTTAACACTCTCTCTGTCTTTGTTTTGCAGGGCTGGCTAACCTGTTTGCCAGGCTGATAACCACAGAGGACAATACACTCTTCTGACAGTACTGTGGCTTCACAGTTTAAGTCTTGTTGTCTTTCCATGGTACTTTGTTCCCCAGGTTACTGGCAAGCCCAACCTCACAAATCAATGCATGGATTTGGCCCAAACTTTTTGCTCTCCTTCGCAAACAAAGAGGCTCCGTGTCTATGCTGGGAAACACTGAGGAATTTCACATGGCCACAAAACTGGTGAAACTACACTGGAATTAAAGCTTCCCAACCTAGAGTAACTATGGAAGTGACCTTCCCACTGCACTTCAAGGTTACAGGGAATGCTGACGATACTGCAAAATCAGTCCAAAATCACGCAGCAGGGAAGGACAGCCAAGATGCCCTTCCTACTGCGAACACAACCACAGAATAGTTGAGGGTAGAAGACAGGTCTGGAAATCTAAGCCTGCTCAAGTCTCTGTGGGGTTTAAACCTGGACAGCATTTTCTAAGACAGAGACAGAGATAGCTCTCACTGACTAAGATGAGTTAGGTGTACGCACTGGCTCACACCTCACACTGAACAGGCAGTCTCAGTCTAGGCAAGATGTCAGTATCCTCACTGTTTTGGCATCTAACATGTACAGAAGCGTGGATTTTTAAATGATGTTTTTAACATGTCTTTACATACATGGTTTTTGTCCATGTTCAACACCTTTTAAAAAATGTTTTAGTAATATAAGTAATATAACTTTAACTCCTAGTTTACAGAAGAATGTATTTAGAAACAGAGTTTTCTACCGATGGATTATGTTGCAATAGCTGTCATAATACCGAATTGTGTGTTTCAAAAAGATCTGTAAATTAGAAATTAGAATTATCTAGCTTTGTGTCTGCAGTGTAAGGGGAAAACATATTGGAGATCAATGTCCATTGATATTACTAAAGAGGGCAAACAAAGTGTTAAAAAACCCAGGCCTTGCTGAGAAAATAGGAATCCATTATAAATGAACAGTATGAGCAACCCCATGAGTACTGTTTGAACCACTAACTCCACACAGATATATGAAACTGTGCAATCCCGGACTTAAACACACACAAGCAAATTCTTGCTATCTAACAAATTCTGCAACGTATGTGTTTACTGTAATTACCACTGTGGTATTAGTGTTGACCAAAGTAGATCATTAATTACAGAAGAATCAGCATCCAACACAGCTGCAAACATAAAGCAGTCAAGAGAATTAGATATTCATAATTGCTCTTGAAAGAAAAAAAAAAGAAAAAAAGACATCATTCTTATTCTGGTCTACACAATCAAACTGAGGAAGGTGCACAAATGGGAACACATAGCTGAGTAATCTGTAATATGATTTTTATGTTTATTAGGCTTTAAAGAGTAGATTTATTTACTAGCAATCTTGCAACAGCCAGCTGAGAACAAAATTGTATAGCACGCTGTGAAAACTGCCTATGCATACCTATCTTCTGAAGTACTGAAAAATCCCCTCCCCAAGTCCTGGACATCATTGCTCATTCTCACAAATGTAACTATCGGATCAATTTAAAAAATTACTTCCAAACAAGTTCTGCATTTATTTAGCCATTTCTTTCTTCTCTCTCCCCAGTATAGAGATTTGCTTACGCTCAGCTCTTCTTCTGTAGTTTCCACCTTAAATGGCCGAATAGTTGTATCTTCTTCAGTGTCAGGCTTTTGTCCCCTGCCCCACCATCCCTCTTTGAAGGGTAATGTCTCTTCTTTCTTCTTGGAAAGTAAGAAGTAGATGATGACTGTCCCCAGAACCAGGAACACTTCGAGCAGCATAATGCCTGCAAAGGAAGAACAGAATTCTGGCAAGCCCAATCAGATAGTTCTGAGACGTGCAACTTACTTTGTAAAGAGTATAGTGGTTTACTTGCTCTTAAAGATAGGATTCAAACCACATGATGTTCTGTCACTCACAAGACATCAACACTTCTGTAAAATTTCAGAAATACGATGCTTTAACCTACACAACTTAATGGGGAGGAACTTAGAAGACATTTAGTAAAAACAGAACTCAAAGCAAGTCAAGAGGTCACATGGCTTGGTAATTAATTAAATAGTCCTCTGATTAAACACGCCATGTTGGCTTCCTCAGTGGCTGCTGACTGCTGCTAAACTTCAACAGTAAGGGAGATGACTGTGGATATAATTCAGGTTTAATGATTTCTCTTTCTCTGAAGCTCTAGATTTGCCACAAATTCAGAAGCACAGCATCTCTTCAGTAAGGCTCACATATCCATTGTTACAGATTTAGAAGGAAAAAAAAAAAAACCCAAGACACATATAGAGAATAAAAAGAGCATGAGGGCAACCACCTTGTACCTCCCAATCAGCGTGGGCAAGCGGAGCAGGGATATATTTACCTAACCCTTGAACAGCAGTGCAAAGGGTAGAAGGACCTTCCTTTTCTTTCTCCCTCTGAACTGTTTTAAAGAGAAAACAAAAGACCACAAGCATGTTCTCCTGGCTCTAAAACAACCTTCCCCAAAAGACAAAATTCTGTCAAAGTCAACAACCTGATTTCACAGCATATCTGCATAACTGGACCGCAGGGCTGTTGTGTTTTAGTCCAACAGAACACCTTAACAACAACAAAATCCATTTGAACTGTTTCATGCTGCAAGTAGAAAAAATAGTTACTCAGACTCTCTTTAATAATCGATGTTTTCAAGCATCCCTTTAAGTATGAGAAATGTCTGTAAAGGTGGTTTGGGGAGCAGTAATGTCATTTTAATGCATAGTTTTAAAGAATGTTGTGTTTCAAACATTCATTTGCTGGGGAATTGATAAAACATGAAGTATTTCAAAACTTCTGTAGGGCAAGCATTGTTTATGACACAGAACAAGCTTCATTCTCTCCAGACCAGGAAGGTTTTGTTGGTTTTGCTGCTGCAGAGTAATTTGATGCTCTGAAATTGGTCAAAGGTATTCCTGGATCAAAACAGGGATTGTAACACAGGTTAATGGGAGTTCACGTGATTATAACAGGAGTAAAACTGACCTGTCTTGTAAGTGCCTTTATGTGACAGGACACAGAATTTAAATTTCTAATCCCTGACAATAAATGAATAAAATGGTCAAAAAGAGCACTCAATAAAACATTTGTACAGAAGACAGGTACTATGCAGATAGGGCAGTAAACTACAAAAATATATTGCTTCGACATGCAAGTGCTACAGCCTTGAAAGTGACTTGAAATTTCTCAGTCCTCAGAGGTTGGAGAAATGGAAATGATAGGCACTGAAAGAACTTGATCCATTTATTCAGTTCATTGGTCCTTCTGTAATATCTGTTGTTTGAGGACGTGCTAGTTTTAACTCTATAGTGCTCTCTGGAGCACAGGACAACAATCTTTTCCCACCTCCACCATACTCAACCATAACTTACCCCAGAATTGAAAACTTTGTCCAATTTCAGCTTGCCTCAACACATAAACCAATGCAGTCTAGGAGCCTCCAGAGCACAATTAAATTTTACTGCAAAGCAGAACCGGAAGGGCTTTTAGAAACCTCAAAGCACTTTACATAGACATAATACCTACCACAGTATTTAATAGCATTTCTATTGCTAAGTCTTCACAGAAAAGAACAGCAACTTCCCTGAAATCACAACACAACTCAGGCCGTGTCTAGACTACAAAGGTTCACCAGCATAACTATGTAAACACTACACACGAAAAATTCAAACTCTTAGCCAATTTCAGTATGCTTACTAAGCCCCATGACAAACAGCCATGCCAGGAGAAGAGAGAGCTGCTCAGTGCCAGCCCCGTTGTTCAGGCAGGATGACTGGGGTACCTAGAAAAACAGAGAACTTTCTCCTGGCTTATGCTGTATCAGCAACATTGCCTCCGCCAATATGGTGACAGAGGCACAGCACCTAACATTGAACTGCTTTACCCAGGAACAGAATCCCAGCCCATTCTCTAGCAAGAAACTTGTATGTCCTAAGTCAGTGGAGTACCCAAATCCACAAAAACATTTCTGCTCTCCCCACCTGCTCTCAAGAAGACTTGAAAAAGCAGAATTTTTGCAGCAAAAGACATGGAAGGGATTGTGTGCAAACACATGTATTTTTTGCCCTGGACTGTGCATACAAAGAACTCGCTAAGTGAATATATATCCATCTTTGCAATTAATTCCAAACAGACTTTAGGATGAGCTTGTTTCCAATCCAGCAATAAGCACCAAAATAAATTTCAAGTCTCACAAAAGTTCTGTCTTCTACCACAGAAAACTGGGGCCAGTGACAAATCAATCTGCATGAGATGTCACTTTGACTCAGAAGAAGCCGCCTCTGATACTGGTCAGATTATTTTTTGCTAACAGAGAGAGATCCCAAGTTGCTCTCTATATTCAACCGCTTCCAGATCCCTTGAAAGTACCTGTAAAATTCCTAATTGCAACAAGCACACAGCTCCAGCTCTGCTACATTTTTTTCTGAGTGCACAGGAGGATGAGAAAGGCCAAAGTGCGTCAGCAGTATTTTAACTTGCACCAGTTCATAGCACACTCAAAGGGATTGTTTTGCTAGTGATGAGTTACTGAAACGCAGCATGCTCCTACCAACCTCTCCAGCCTGTGCTGAGAGGAAACCACTTAGAGCAAATGCGCTCAATGATTTCCCAAGTTTGCTATTCGAGCTAGTTCTCTAAAACTCCTGTGTGTTATTGGACCAGCATAAAGCAGCCTCAGTCGTGATGCATCTGCACCAGAATTTCCTCTGCTAATAACTACTCAGCTGTTGTGAGAGGGAAGTTATTAGCCCCTTACACTTGTTCCGTGATAACAGCAACACAGCACCACGAATGTGGAAGAAGAAACACTTTCCTATACTTGCAGTTTTCAGAGATGTAAACAACGAAGTGCTGATGGTTTTAGTCTCTGAAGCCTCTTGATGCAACCATGCTGGCATGTTGCCTTTAAAAATGACTACTTCAAAGGAAGTTCATGTTTTGTTTTGGCTTTTTCCTCTTTTTATGTGACCAAAGGCAAGACCTTAGAAGGAAATATTTCCATTCATTCCATGGTCAAGTACTTAGGCTCCAAGATTTTGCTGTACTCCAGGGTGGATACTGTTTGTAGACAGCACTTAAATACCTTAGACAATACTTTTATCCTAAAGAGTCCAAGGAAGAATGTTTTTGGTTTGCTACTTCAAACACAAGTTTTGAAAGAAAAATGTTCAAGTGTGATGGATCCAGTAAATAGCCCAAAAAAACAGTTCTTCTTGAAGAAGACCAAGTGCATCTTGAGTAATATGTTGTTTGCAAGAAAACCCCAAAACTTTCTTACAGTATCTTACTGCTCCCTGTTGAAAACACTCTTGTTTTTCAGCATTTTTTGCATTTGGATTTGCACTGTCCTCTGTTTGTACAGTACCAGCAGAGCAAATAGCTCCACAGGAACAGGGCAGTTATTATTTACATCAAAGCTAAGTCCTGTCTCATGCCCTGTCTTCATCAGTATCCAATAATAGATGCCCCAGAGAACTTTTTATGCTCCTATTTACTCTTTAGAGAGGTCACCTATGAAACAGCTTAATGGCAAAATCCCCATCATGTTCTACTAGTAATCATTCCCCTTTGTCTTGCAGCATTAGAATCCATCTGAAACATGTTACTGGAGAAATAAACAACTACAAGGACGTTCAACCTAACATCTGGAAACCCATTTTGGCCCAAACGCTACTCAACCCAGCTACTGTGGCTTGAAAGATGCACAATACCCACAACTCTGAGTGGTGCCATTAAACCGTATCCGTGCAAACCAGCTGGCGCATGGGTGAGGCAAAAGCTCCAAGAGACCATGGTGCTTTCAGACACATGCCAGGGGTGATCATGGTTTACAGTTAATAACATTTACTCTCCAAGGTTGGTTTACCAGCCGACTGCAAGGTAGCTCGGAGCACTTAGCACACTCTGATGCTGTCAGATACAAGGTTTATTGATTAATAATTACTCTGCAGGAGAAATAACAGCTCAGTTTAGAAGTGATGTTTCCATTTATTTTTGTTCTGTTACATAAACTCCCCCATTAGGTTTTACTGAAAAGGCACCCCTCTGCCGCAGCGTCTTTGTTTACAGATCAGTTCGCCTGAAGAGCAGCAATTGCAGGTTACTCTTCCCAACAGATCTGAAGGAAAAACAACCCTCTGAAGGACTTCAAAAACTCATGGCACCTGTAACAGGGTCCCCTAGCAATGACAGCCTAAAAGGGACTAAGACATGGCACAGTCCCAGAAGCTTCACCCTCAGTCCAAGTCCCACCACCTCCAAGCATCACATTTTTGTCATTATGCAGCACCAGAAACAGACAGAAAACCATGAAGTGAAGACACTTGTGTAAGAAAAGCTTCATATGTCTGTAGTTTATGGAGCATTATGACAACCTTCAAAATAGCTTAGCAACGCAGGAATTGTTTTGCATACAACCGATAACATCTCCCAGGTGAGCAGAAAATGATACATTAACATTGTAGGAAAGAAGGAGAGGTAGGCATCGGATGAAATAAAGCGTCCTACGCAGGGAATCAAATCAAAGACAGGAAATACAAATCCAACAGAGTTTCTGGCTTGTCTCGATAAGAAATTTAGCATTTAGATTTTTTATTGCCATGGGAGGTGGCATACAATGCTATCTCCAAAACAGCAGGAAGAGATGATATCATTCTGTTCCACAATCTTTTTCTAGACTGTTCGCAATCAGGAATTAGCTGGTACAGCAGGAACCTAATTAAAAGACTACAAGCAAGGAAAGGGGCCACCTCCTCAAAGAAGGAGAAACCACCCTCTCTCTCCCAGGGGGATGGCCAGGCCTCTCCCAGGAGTGGGGCACACTGTCCCCAGGACAGGACTGGGGTACACCTCCATCGGCCCTGAGGAACACCCCACACCTGTGGCAGCGAGGCACTGCTCCCTTGCAGCAGTGCCTCTGCTTTGCCCCTCGGACAACAGTAACAGAGACAGTTTAAAGCTCTGGGGGTACCCATATGCATCACCCAGAACCTGCACTTAGGGGAGGCAGTCCCTGGGGAACCTCGAGGCTGAGTACCTTACACAACATATTCCCACCTAGTTTTTCCTACAATACCATGACCGTCAAATGATATTATCACTTCAGTACTACACTGAAATCTGGCAGGCACCAAGACCCAAGCCTAGCTAAGCATAAAAGTGATACGGGACTAAGTTGTTACCCACTTTGCCTCACCTGGAGGAAGCACATTTATGCACCCGCTGGCCAGTCAAAGCTCATCTTGCAATCATAATTTAAAATTCTGCATGCCACATTTTAAAGAGGAAAATCCTCAATTTAGAACACATATTTAAGCAACACTACTTGCTCTTTCAAATCCAGATTACAGATAAGGAAATGAGATCGAGGTAATTGTTCATCAGGCCTTAAAGGAAATTTGGGCACCATCTTCAGCTTTACTATGTCCTCCAGCCCTAAAGAGTAGGGCTTCCTCCACCAACGATGGTACTGCGGCCAATGCTGTGCTCACTCTGATCTCTAAGTAACACTCGGGTTCATCTCGTACTGCTTCGTGGCGTGGCACAGCGTGTGTCCTTCTATTTACTGAGGCTTCTATTAGTCTAATTCACTTAAGAGTCTTCCATGAAATCAGAGAGGGAAAGATGTTCTTTAACTAGAAGCTTTACAGGTTTTTTGTATTAGCTCTGTTAGAAAACTGCATTACTAAAACCTTTAATTATTAACATATGCAGAATCGATGTGTCTTGTTGCCTGGGGGGATGGGGGAGGGCGGGGAAAGAGTGCAGTTTGAAATCTTGCACTCTCAAGTATGTAAGAACAAAGTACATGACAACCTTTCAGTTAAAATAAGGTGTGGAGATGGAAATGATGAATACAAAGACTGCCAGAGGAAATTTCTGGCAATCTGCAAGACAGTAAGATGAGGTGCACACTGTAATTTTAAATTAGGATCATGACTCCAAATAGTAAAGGCAGCATGAGTGAAAACGTGCATGAGAGTGTAAAAAGAAAAAAAAAAAATTTTTTTTATAAATTGTGACTATGGAAACAAGAAGAGATAGAAACTTGTTATCTCTCTATGAAGACTTCATTCTCAAAGAAAAAAGGAACTTTGAATGATGAGAGAGGAGGGGAACAGATGGTAGTCGTCATTTTCTGTCAAATAACTGCAACACCAAAAGGATGTGCCAGAGTAAACATGTAACAAGAACAATTCTTGCTACTTCATATCTCTCTTAATAACAACTAAATATTTAAGTTCCCTTTGAATTTAAGGCTTCATCTAAGAAAAGTGCACTACCTGTATCCACCAGATTGGAGCAATTAAGACTCATGATGAAGCAGTCAAGAGGGCTAGGTCCTCCAACAGAGCTTTATTTTTGATCGGTAATACATAGCCATTTAACTTGAGAGAAAGACTCATCTATCAGACAGCAAAGCACACCCAGGATACAGATGCAGTGGGCAGCCAGGGCACGCAGAACAAACTGGTAGAGCAATAGTTACAGGTCTTCACTGCAGAGTTCAAACAAAGAAAAAACCAAAAAACCCCAACTGCTGGGTGCAGCAAGAAGAAGAATTCCTTGAAGTAGAGAAAGAACAAAAAACCAGAAAGTTTGCTGAGCCTTTCCTTGTCTTGTGGATTACGCCTAATCATCTCCAGCAGAGATGTTTCCAAAAAAAGTTGGAGGAATGTCGGAGAATAGCTCACTTTTCAGAGAAGAAACCTAGAAAACAGTTCCTGTTTTTTACCCCAGTAGGATCCCTCCGTAAACACAATCACAGATAATGTCCTCATTCTGGCAAATGCATTAGAAGACAGCATCATACACTACTGAAAAAAACAAGGCTACCACGATTCCCACAAAAATATTCCCAGCCCTGCCAATCAGAAAGAATTTAATCAACAACAATATGTTTAAATATATATAAGAGATGATAATGCCAGTTAAAAAAACCCCAAACCATAAAACCCAAGGTATATTCAAATCATTGTGTTAGCCATTCTGCTATGGCTGGCATGACCAAGATATTAAAGCAAATGCCATTTTAGAAGTAGATTTTTGTGCTTTACTGTTTATATAAACACGTATTTATGTAAATACCTATTTACACACATGATTCTTTGAATTAAAAAATAATATATTGAGAGGAAGAATTCAGGACTTTTTTAGCAGTAGTATTCAGAACAGAAAATGTATTTTCAGCATTAATTACAAGCAGACCAAAGCTCTTCAGAGAGAAGCAAGACGCTCTACTTTCCAAGAGACTTTTCTTCAGGGACTTACACAGTAATTAGAGATCTCTTTGCCACATTTGGAACTCACACATTAAAGAAGACTGCCCTGGTTCTGGGATTGTGCACTGCATGAAGAAAATAACTCTTGAAGGCTCAACAAAGCAGTGCACACTCTACCACAAAGGTAAGGCTTTACCTCCGCTCGTTTGGCCACAAAATTTGACTACTCCAACTATAATACAAGAAATGTGCATAGGAATATGCAAGATAATCAATTCATTTTGCCTAGAGCTATAAGCTACCACCTACCACCCCCATCCCCGCTTTGCTACTTCTCCACTGACAAATTACTTGACAAACTATTACTGAAGAAACAAGAATTTCTGGGTGTATTACCATTCCTGAACTATCACCCCAAACCTTTTTATTTACCCGTTATAATTACTTAGAACAAATTGGCCATGTATATTCTATTACGAAGCCTGAACTTGTTTCACAGTGCTTACCATACTAAAACATTGCAGTTCTATGTCTACAAATACTAGGTAAGTCTGAAAGCTTTGCCGAAGCCCTAGATAAACAAACAAGCTGACAACATGGTATTACCTTATGGAATGACCGAAATACAAAAAATGTAGTAGATCAACAGGGGGTGAAAAAAGGCCCTATAAACCACCTAGTAATCCAAAACCTATTCTGGGCAATTTGTACAGAAAAACTGCACATGGATTATGGCTGCACTGGTTAGTAGTGACTGTGCTCTATTTCAAATTATTTACTTCAACACCATGATTGCCCCTGTGAAAAAAACAACAAAATTCGGAAGAAGGAACAAACAAGCAGGGTTTAAGCAAACCCTACACAAGTTTTTTATATATTAATTCAGACTGGAAAAGATGTAGAACAAAGAGTCATGAACTTGACACTGTGCCAGGACCTTCCCCACAAAGACTTCAGCTCTGACAAAGATCTAATCCTTGTCCTTGGACAACTCCAACCGTGGATTGATTTTCAAAGCTGCCTAATTGCTTTTGGTGCCTATCTTCCATCGATTTTCAGTAAGCATGAGCAATTTGCGCACTCAAGTCTCAATTTTAGCTTACTTCAGACAGGAGTAATATCCGTTTCAGAGGAGAAGCACGGTATCTCAAAAGAACAGTGCCAATCAAAATATTAACCCCACATTCGTGGCTGTGTAAGTAAATTTGAGCCAGTGGATTCTAAGACTGATCTTATCTTGCAGGTTCACCTACAATAAGTAGGCAAGTTCTCTTGTTTTAGATAAAGCTATGCTATGAAAATAAGGGAAGATAAAGCAGCCTAATTCAACAGAATTGGAAAATTATGTACTTGATTATGACAGGTTTTAACTGCAGGGTAAAGTCAAAAATCTCAACTGAATTCTGACAAACTGAGCCAAACTTGAGGAGCAGTGTGTCATTTGCTTAATCTTTGCAGATTGCTCAGTTATGCAACAAAATACGGTCATTAAACTTAAAAGGTTTTCTTCTCATCCCTAAAACGCTTGTTCAGCAAAGGGAACTATGTATATAGTAATCATGCAAACAATTTTCAGGTTTGGCAAATGACCCAATAAAAAACCAAAAAAGTTCAATTTCATATCCCCATTTAGAGATGAGTAAAAACAAACAAACAAACAAAAACCAAAATCAAAACCAGACTAAACCATTTATACACCAACAGTTAAAGCCACTTAGTCTAAACCCGGAAACCTGGCCAGATTCCCAATGAATGCTAAATAAAATAGTTGTTTCCATAAGTATTGTCGGCAGCAAGGCCAGCTTATCAGGAACCTTAAATCGGACAAACAACCCCGGCTCCAGCAAGCTGTCGGGGAGTGTCACATCTGCTCTCCCCCAAAAAAAGCCAATTAGAGCCTTCCTGTTCCCAAAGTCAACCCAAAAATCCCCACCCGGGTCACTGTTGTTAATTCAGACTTTAATAATACCCATTGTTAATAATATTTTGATACTACCAGCTGGCAGAGGGGCACACGCTCTCTAAAACAATGGTATTTAAGGCACGTAGGCGCAGAGCCCACTTTCAACGGTCCCTGCTCCCTCGCTTCTCGGCGTTCAACGTCCGCAGGCTTCGGCGGCAGCCGCCGCACACGCAAGAACCTGTAAAAATAATTTCATTTACTGGACGGCAAGTTCAGGCCCGCGCTCTCGCCTCGCTCCCCTTCCCCCGCGGGCCGCACCGCCGCGGCTGCGAGGGCAGAGGCACTGTTTCACACACACCCCGAGCAGGCAACTTCGCACACGCTCCTCAGTCCTCGCCCGCGGCGCCGCCTTCCTCACCTCTGGCCGCCGCCGCCGCCGCCCGGGACCTGTCCCGGTAGCTCTCCCCGTGAAGGGCTGCCCTGCCCTCCCCAGTCTGCTCAAGCATTCCTGTGCTCAAAGCGTATTTGGTGCAGTTGTCATGCTGTTTAGCTACGAACAGCAATAGTTACTAAATTTAAAAAGTAATCTGTTTTAAAGCAACATGTGCCTAAACTGCTCTGTAAGTAAGGCTTGTCTTCTTTTGTTGTTCTGTGCCAAACACGCTGGCTGTGAGTTCTGTTCCTTCTGGGGCATCTGGCTTCACCAACAGCTCCATACTAATTTTCTTGAGGTGCCAGAAGCATCAGCAACACATCTTTCTTTTGTAGGACTACAGGGATTTCACAAACCTACAAATAGGACTGTGTTGAATTCCACAGTAAAACATAACAACTTTCATGAGATGATGAAAATGCAGCTGTATTATGTCTCACACTGTCATAGCACTTTATTACAGCTACCAAATAGATACTGTATTTGACTGTTTTAGTTAATGAAAAATTGCATTTCTTCTATCCCATATTTGTTATTAATATGCCAACTCAAATCTCTGGTTAACCAGTAACTCCAGCCTCTATAACCTGATAAAGTAGTTTCATCCTTTATCCAGGCTGTCCCATATTCTTAAAACAGGTGTCTTCGGTCATCCAGGAAGGCACCTTCCTACCTCCTTAGTGCCTTCCTGTTCCTCCATTCATGAAGGGGATTGGATAGTTCAAAATTCCCACCGTGGAGGTATCACTCTTGCATATATATTTTCCTGTGGGTGTTAACCCTCCTAAATTGCTAATTCATTAAATATTAATTTTTCTCTTTGCTTTAACAGTGCTAGGCATACGGTGCTTCTGGTTCATGAGCAGGACTTTTAGGCCTCATGGCAGTAGCAATAATAAACAGCAGTGAGCAAAGTAGTTACCTCAGACATACAGAGAAAAGAGGAAGATTGCATAGGTTTAGTTTTTTACACACATTCCTTCTAACTGAAACTGTTTGGGCTGTTTATTGTGAAAACTGTACAACTCCCACAGCCTGTCAAAGGAAAATACAGACATGCAAATACCACTAAAGCCAAAAGGGCCAACTGTGTCCTGGGGTGCACCAAGCACAGCACAGCTTGCTGGTCAAGGGAGGTGACTGTCCCACGCTGCACTGCACTGGTGCACCCCCACCTCGGGTACTGTGTGCAGTTCTGGGTGCCTCAGTATAAGAAGGACATCAAACTGTTAGAATGTGTCCAGAGGAAGGCAGCCAAGATGGTGAAAGGCCTTGAGGGCAAGACTTACGAGAAGCCACCATGGTCACTCATTTGTTCATCTTGGAGTATCACAGAATCATTCAGGTTGGAAAAGACCCTTGGGATCATCGAGTCCATCAGCTCTACTCTACAAAGTTCTCCCCTACACCGTATCCCCCAGCATCTCACCTAAACAACCCTTAGACACATCCAGGGATGGTGACTCCACCACCTCCCTGGGCAGCCTATTCCACTGTCTGATCACTCTTTCGGTGAAAATTTTTTTCCTAATGTCCAGTCTGAACCTCCCCTGTTGGAGTTTAAAGCCATTCCCTCTTGTTCTATCGCTAATCACCTGTGAGAAGAGACCAGCACCAACCTCTCTACAATGTCCTTTCAGGTAGCTGTAGAGAGTGATGAGGTCTCCCCTCAGCCTTCTCTTTCTCAAACTGAACAGTCCCAGCTCTTTCAGTCACTCCTCAGAGGATCTGTTCTCCAGGCCCTTCACAAGCTTCATTGCCCTGCTCTGCACTAGCTCCAGCACCTCGATATCTCTCTCGTATTGAGGTGCCCAAAACTGGACACAACACTCCAGGTGTGGCCTCACCAGTGCAGAGTACAGGGGGACTGTCACCTCCCTACCTCTGATGGTCACACTATTTCTAATGCAAGCCAGGATGCCGTTGGCTTTCTTGGCCACCTGGGCACACTGCTGGCTCATGTTCAGCTGCTTCTCAATTAGAACCCCTACATCCATCTCTTCCAGACAGCTCTCCAGCCACATCTCCCCAAGCCTGTAGCCATGCAGGGGGTTGTTGTGGCCCAAGTGCAGGACCTGGCACCTGGCCTTGTTGCCAGATGGCTGAGGCATGACCTCATTGCAGCCCACAAGTTCCTCATGGGGGACAGTGGAACAGGAGGTGTCAATCTTCTTTCTCTGGTGACTAGCAATAGGACATGAGGAAATGGAATGAAGCTGCATCAGGGGAAGTTCAGGTTGGACATTAGGAAAAGGTTCTTCATCAAGAGGGTGGTTGGTCACTGGAACTGGCTCCCCAGGGAACTGGTCACATCACCAAGCCTGTCCGGAGCATCTGGACAATGCTCTTAGTCATATGGTTTAGTTTTAGGGAGCCCTGCAAGGAGCAGGGAGTTGGACTTGATGATCCTTATGAGTGTCTTCCAACTTGAGACATTCTATGATTCCAAATAAGAGAAATGGAAAACATTAGCAACTTCATGCTCCAGCATTCCTTAAAGGTTTTTTGTTTTAGAGTTTTGAGCTGAGGTGGAGGAACATTATACAGCATTAGATGCACCTCTAAAGCAGAGGTTGGAGTTGGTTACAGCAAACAGAAATTAGCAGAAGGATATGGCCATGACAAACTTAGGGGACTACTGGTGTGAGGGGAACTGCAGAGAGTTGTGACAAAGATTCATGTAAGCACAGAGAAACTGACAACAGATGTGGTTGGAGAACAGTTTTTATCTTACAATATAAGGAATGATTTAAAAAAAGACAAATATTGATGACAAATTATTATGGAGAATGATATCTAATCATTACGAGCTGTAGAATGGAAGACAGTCATCAGCCAAATAATGTCAAGGAGATGCAATTTGCATTATAGGAAAGGAAATGAATTGCTACAATCTAGGTAGATACTCCAACACAGAGTTTGAGCTGAAGGATCTTCTCATTTGCTAAAGCCTAAGTGTTCTTTTTGATATCCAAAAAACCTATTTTCTTATACTGTTATTGGATAAGGAAGTTTCACTTTGTTATTAATGCTTCTGTGACACCTACACACGTACTCTTCGCAAGTGTGACAATGCAGAATCTCCCTCTACCAAAGCTCAGATTTGAGAACAAAATCCTCTATTAACACCCACAAGTAGAAGGTGGTAAAGGTGCAGCTGTGTAACAATCCTCTTCCTGAAAGCCAACCAAAAAGTCATCATGATCACGTCCTTAGAGGAAATTGTCTGAAACACCTAAAGAGAAAGTTTAAAACATATAATAAAGAAAAAAGGACTGGAGAGTCAGAAAAGAAGGAAGCTTAATACAGAAGTCAGAAGAATGAGGAAGGAATACACTCTTCTCTGATCATGAAATCAAAGTAGTCTATTCTCAACACCAGTGAAATCAGATCCAATAGGTGTTCCAGTAGTTATGTTTTTGAGGGTTGGCCACCTGGATGTATTCTGAAGACACCTTAAGATTTTATTGGTTTGGAGCAACTGCAGACTGAATTGTTACTATTGCAGTCACATACACCTTTCACATATACCTTTCAACATGCTGATCTCTTCTTAAACTGCTGCCCCAACATTTAACCCATCCTGACATTTAAGAACGTAAATTCATAAACCACAGTCTTATGAATCCATGCTATAATCTTTACCTTGTACCATGCGTTCAGTTCTGGTTACTCCATTTGAGAGGCTACCAGAGTGTTACAGGCCTTTAGAGAGAATAGCATCTACCACCTTTGGTCCCATACTTTCTGTACCATCCATATGAACTAGAACAATACAGAAACAAATTCAGACATATCTAGTTTTTAGGGAAATATTCTATGGCATGTACATGACAGAGCATTTAATGGGACAGATGGGAGGTTTTTACAAGCAAGTCGGGGAAATGACAAAGTGCAAGTTATTTAGGCTGTGGTTCCATGGCAGCCTAAGCCAATCTAACTGCTGGCTCTTTTGCTCCCATTGTTCTCATCCAGAGAGGGGCGAGAGGTGCTATCCCCTGTAGCACTCATTTGACCTTTTGTGAAGCCACCTCAGCACACTAACCAGGCAGAACACCAAATCAGCAGGTCTCCAGAACACTGAAGAGTTTTCTGATAATCTGAAATGGTTCAGGTGAGGCTCTGAGGCACACTAGAATCAATGCGACAGAGGCAACAGGAATCAGCAGCCAGATGTTACACTGACCATGGCTGGCACGGAATCCCAGACTTTGCAAACGTTTTAGATGATCAAGAGGGAATATTGCTGCAGTGGTTAAGAAGCTATTTGCAAAGCAGCTGTTTGTTAAAATCATGGTTGGTTACTTGCATGTTTAAACATAGTCATGTTATGTGGCTCTGCTGTGTGGCCAACACAGAAGGTTTGCCTCTGCACAGATGAACAATCCCTGGTGAACCTTCTTTATTTCTTTGGTTACTACCCTCAGCCATAGGGTAGCATTACCACAGCAAATGTGTTTAAAAAAAATAAATAAAAGCCCCTCAACTGTCAATCACTCATTGAAAAGGTCACCTTCCCTCCTGCCCCCAGATTTAAAAGGTATCTTTTATGACAATTTAAAGTAAGACCTTGGCTTTCACACGGACATGTCTGAGGCATTAGTTCATCCTCCTGACTGCCAACTTCTTAAAGGAGCAGATGCCTCTGGGAGGTAACATCTTTAAGCCACACACACAGTTTGCCAGAGCTCATTTGTCAGTGCCCTGCGGCAAGCCTTTCATCTTTTAGCCACATAATGATAGCAGAACTGTATTATAGATGGCTGTATTTACATGCATGAGCAATCCAGTTAAAATGTATATTTTTGCTAGCCAATGTGAAGAGCAAATTCTCATCTGCTCCCTACCAACCAGCAAAGCTATTCAGTTCATGTTGAGAAAACTCAGCCCCCTCTCCAAGAAACCAGTCTTTGAAATCTTGCTGTAAACAGATGCCTATACTCAGGAAGGTTCTGCTCAGTAGAAGCAGAACAATGCAGATTAGTCCTTTTCTGAACAGATACCAATTCTAGACAAAAAAATTGAAACCAACATGCAAACACAACTTCAAAGGAAATAAAAAACCTCTCCCAGACCTCTCAGTATGACTGATGTTTTAAGTTCTAACAAAATGACTAAGAATCACCACAAAAAAGGGGACATAAGAATGTGAGCACAAAATCAAAACTTGCTACAAAAACAAAGCAAAATGTCCTCAGAGCTGGTCTTGATTTAAATAGAAAACACTTTCATAAATACCAACACTACAGTTTAAGAGAAACACTCATATCTTGACAACACCTAGGAACTGTCTGTATGGGGAGTGCTAATGGGTTGAGCAACTGGTTCTTGCTGGAAGACTGGGCATTTTCATGTAAGAACACTGAGAGATGGCACCCATGACTTTAAGATGTTTTTAGAATGGTAGAAAGTAATTGTGTTCCCATTACAGAGCTCTGAGAACACACAACTGTAACTAACTTTGGCACAGTATAAGAAAATAGGCACGTACCTTCACCAGAAACAAAGACTACGTGCAACAATAGGGCCTGTACTTGCATGAAGGCAGTTAACTCTGCTATCACACTGGGACCATGTTTTTATTGGCTCAGTTCCCATAGACTTCAGTTTTACATGGTCCAGCTGAAGCCCACATTCTCCTGAGAGCATTTAGTCTGTTAGAAGAGTTACAGGACCTACACAAGCTTGCATAATAAGCAGGGGTTAGCAAACTACCATGCTTTGTATTCTGCTGAGTAAGTAATCTGCTTCTAAAATACTGTGGCATCATTCTCATCTCAAAAATAACATTTCTGCAGACTAAAAAGCCTACATCTGCTTTCAGTACATAGTAATTCAAATCAAATCCTTCAGCATAAAGGTGGGGAGATTTATCTGGAAGCCAGTCTAATGAGTCTACTTATTGTGAAAGTAATGGAGATAAAAGGCATGTTTTTATGTCATCCCCAGCAACAAAGACAATTCAACTCTTGCTTGTATTTAAATACCAGTCCTTGAACTCTTAAAACCTTTGGAAAAGATAACATCTTTATAAACAAACAGTTGTGTTATCTTGAGTCATGCAGCATCTACCTTTAAAGTGGTATCAGCTTCTCAGATTAGACACCCTCACGTCTTGAAAAGCAAATCACTATTAACTTAAGCAAAAAACTAGATGTTCTTCACAGACTACTTTCCTTTAAAAAAAAATAATGAAGATCCTTTAAGAAAGTTATCTATCAAGAAGCCTCCTTAGATATGCTTGACCAAAACAGCTTTGTTTCAGTCAATTAGATTTAAAAGTTACCTCAGCACAGAGCATTGTACAAAGAATAATAGCTCTCAGCTAAGCTCCTACTCCCTGAGGTCACTCAATAATGCTCACAGACTGAAGGAAATGGAACTTGTGCAGAATCTGCAGTCTAGATAAGTTATACAGAAAAAAAAACCCCACTTATTTGCTATATATTCATTTCTCCACTTTAGTTCTCAAACTCCATGTAAAAGGTGGTTACAGTATCATTTCTAGGTTAGTTTTATCTTCCCATAAACCAGAAGTGAAAAAAGGCACAGGTGCATTGTGGGGATAACAGTGCATTACCATCCTTAAGATGAATGAAGTGAGGGGATTTGTTCTGCCTATAGCAAGAGGGCTAACACACCTTCCAAGTGACGTAATCCTTTAAGACCAACCTACGGTAAGAAGTGACCATCCAAGTCTTACTGATGACATCTGGCAGAAACCAGGGTTTCTTCACATTTATTACAGCAAAATGATGAATATTACCCACTTTTATACTGCAGGAAGGAACTTACCGAGATAGAATATTACTATTTTGACAACTTAGAACATTTTTAAAAGCACCTTCTTGGCTTCAGTTCTGTTTCCCATTTTGATAGACTCAGGCACCAAAGCATTCAATTTTGCAGAATAAATCTGTCACTCTTAAAAGTCTTAGGTCAGGATTTCAGTGGAAACAAAGGCCTGTGACCAAAATTCTCACTTCTACACATAATTTCAAGATCTTCCTGTAATCCAGAATACACTTACAGAATGGACTACACACAGAGAAGATCAGAGTTAAAACCCCTAAAGGAAAACAGAAGTGATGTAGTTGTATATACAAGAGCTCAGACACAAAGACAGCTTAAGTGCTGAGCACAAAGGAAGAATTGAAATCAAGACAGAATCCAGGAAGTGAGAACACCAGAAAACCAGAATAAATTCCATGTGTAAACTAATCCAATTTCTTTGTGCAATAACAAGACTCATTCTTTATTAAACTGTTCTCACAAAGCAGAACAATTACTGACAATAACCAACATGCAGCAACAAAATTAGCTATAGCAAAGAAAAATGTCTTTTTTTAATCATTCCACTTCTCCTGTAAAGGTTACCTGTCCATAACTGCACAGGTTGCCTATGTGCCCCTGCGCTGCCTGTTTGCGGCCTGTATTTGGCACAGACTCCATCACTGGTGACCAGAGGCATTGAAGTGTTGAGCTCCCAAACTAAGGGCTTCACATGCAATGCATTCAATTCAGCCCTATGGTGCAGCAGCCGTATTAACGCCGATTTCTCCATCACATACCAGTGGACATATTCAAGTAGTTGACAGTATGATGGATTAACTCATTGGAAGTTTATTAGGAAAGTGATCAGTGTACATACGCACACGCGCACACTCTCAACAAGAGTATAAGCACAAAAAAGCAGAGCTTTGAGTTCACAGCTTTTCTACCACCCCATGAACACAGTATTGAAGTAGCTGAGAATTCCAGGACAAAGTCAAGAAGCACCTGTCTTTTTCTGAAAAAAGTTTTCAAAAGCTTGGTTTTGTCGGGTTTTTTTCTTTAAGCAGTAGCTTTATCAGTGTTCTTGTGTATTATGACCACACAGAACCACCCTCATTTTTCTGAGTATATGGAGAACAAGCTTAACAATGCATACTCTTACATAAGTAACACTAATATTTCCTTACGGTTTTACAGAAATAATTTCTGAATTTAGAAAACTAGAAATGCATTTCCCTGCCTCTTTTGCTTGACAACTACTACTCTTAACATGAAGCACTGGAATTGCTCCCCTTCACAAGATAACAGTGCCCCCCTCTAAAACCTGCTTAAGTGTACACCAAGCCCACCCACAGTCTTCTCTCTCTTTACTTTTCTCTTCTATGCACAAGGAAATACCGCTCAAGCCTTTCTGCATCTCAGCTCACAGAAGACACCTACGTGCCAAACCAATTTAAGAGATGTCCAAAAACTGCACTAAAATAACGGCAACCTTTTCACCCGCCAATTCAATTTAACAGCTTAAATCTTTGCTTGTGTGACTTTGTGTAGCAACCTTTCATACTGCAGGACAGTGATTTAGACAAAAATGGCTTAACTACCTAATATACTATATTGCAAATATTAAGAAAATTATTTGGAGCATCAAGGAAAATTTTCAGCATTACAGTATTGCATTGTTTAACTGTGAAAAAAGTTTAGCCTTCTCTCTGGATTTATTTGTATTTCAAAAGCCAATGCAACAAGAAAAGTGTTACGTACATACCAGTCACTCCCATAGACTAGAATCTGAGTAGTCATTGGGAATTTAGCACTGCAGTATTTTCCGACAATATGTAACATTACATGTTCAGCTGGAAGGGTAACTCTAATGCAGTATTCAAGCCTGGTTTTTTTCTGAGCCCTTGGCAAATGTAGGAACTCCACTGCTTCCGAGTAGCTCAATTATTTTTATGTAAGTGACAGCAGGTAGCTATTTAAGTAGATTGATTTGTTATATATAAACGCCACTACGGAGGAGCCTTTGTATGGCTCTGCTTTACTTTCGTGGCTTGGTTTAAGCCAAAACACTAGTCCTGAAAGAGCCTAGTTATACCAATAGCATAATTACATTAAAATATTCATATGGTTTTAAGTATGCATGATCTAGTCAAAGCAAGTATCAATTTCAGCTACTGGGTTTTCAAGCAAAAAGCCTTTGCAAGAGACAATTAAGGCTTCCATCACCCTAACAGAGGTAACAATGAAAAACAAGTCTAAGCCACAGGAGCATTGGTCTATTTTTGACAGTGGTATTTAAGTATTTATTAAGCTGGTTTTCATCCATTTATTCATTGGCTGACATCCATCTGCCACATGTAACATTGGAAAATGCACAGTTAGCAAGCTGCTAAAATAAGGGAGCCCGGTTGCATTTTTTCATCAAAATAATAGGCAAGAGATTCTAGAATTTGTCTTGCTGATACAGTTCAACTCTGCCTGAAGCAAGAACAGGAAAAGGTCCCCTGCTACTATAAAACAGTTCAAGTAAGGAAAAAAGCCAGACTATTTTTTAAGAACAGTATTTGCAAAAGCAGAAGAAAACCATCCAGTTTCTCACCATTCTCTAGCAATATTCAAGCAAAGTTTTACTTTCATTTTTAAAATACAGAAGTTTATTTAGCCTATAACAGTTCTACAAACTGTATCACAGATAGTGATGCACAGCTTATGACCAAGATCAATACCAAGAGCTAAAAATCTTGCTAGTGATAGTGTTAATACAAATCAGCAATTTTAACATTTCACCTCAGAAAGCATCTGGTCTTCTAAACCCCAGTGATGTATGTAATTCATGTAAATATTTATTAGATCCAGTCATCATGTTACAGTATTAGTCAGGTTAATAAACCTTCTCACTGTGAGAATACACCAGCATAAGGTATGAACACAATGAAACCTATATGACATTTTATAGTAACTTTCCAGAAATATGCTTGTGGCCCATCAAATTCAGACTAAAGTACTGTAGATTTAAAATATTTACTGGTCTTCTTAGCATACCTAATGTGTAAGAATAGTTTCTTGTTCAATTCCCAAAAATAAATATAAAGCTTTCAACTGAAAGCATTTATTTTCCTAGTTTTCCAAAGCAGAGTCTGGGGGGAAAAATGCTTCAGACTTGTCATCAGTCCACTTCGGTACATAAAAGCATCTCCTGTCCCAGTATTCGTTCAAATCCAAGAGATATTTTCTTCCAGTGAAATATGACCGGAGCACTCATTTTATTTTCAGCAATTCAGTCTGTTTCCATGGCAGCACTGCGGGATTCCTTAGCCACCATGAGTCGCATTAGCTGACTGTGGAATTTCTCGATCTTCTTTACGTCTTGTGCCTGGTCTGTTCTATACAGCAAACACTGTAAGAGAAAGTTGCTTAATATCAGATTTCACTCAAACTGTTTTTGTCCTGTTTATAGTTGCAACAGATTTGTGCTTGAAACACACAAAACAAGGCAAGTCCTTAAATATTCATTTGTGGCATGTTGCTACCATGAGGCAGCATAAACAGGTACCTACCCTGTTTTAAAATACACACATCTGTGTTTACATGTAAGTTTCTCTGAAAGGCTCATGCCTTCCATTAATAGGGAAGCTCATGATTTATCCTAGTTACTTCTCTCTCAAAAAGGTGCTAAAACTTGGTGTTTAAACCTGTCTCTAAAGACACTCCTATTCATGTTGTCTAAAAATAGTACCAGATTTTAAACCTGTAATTTCTTTCTTATTCTCTATACTCTGAAAGTAAGTTTATTCTGCCTTTCACAGTCCTTAATGTTACACTGCCAGTGACATAAAATCAGTTCAGTATTTCCCACTGAAGGGGATCCCCTCCCCCAAGCAAAATCTGTTTCTATGACAGTCCTAAATAAGGAACATAGCATCTGATTAAGATAAAAAGGAACTCCTTCATGTGACAAGCCTGTAAATGCAAAAGGAACAAGAGTAATATGCCAATGACTTATCATAGAAAGACCGCTTAGGGTGTTGGGGTTTTTTTTTTTGCAGACTAAGTAATTCCTTACACCTGTACAGCATGAGTATGACTGCTCAGGCTAATTTAACAATGAAAAAAACCACAGAATGCTCCATTCTTCAATGTTGTCAACACCACAACTTTTGCCAGCATTAAATTTCTATTTTAATTCAGACATGAACAGTAGAAAACAGGGTTTTTTTTCCTTCTTTTTCCTTCAGCTACATTAGTTCTGCAAATTAGGCATCAAGGAAGACTCCCCTTCCCACCTTTAGAAAAAAAAAAAAAAAACAAAAAACCCCACCCCCCAAAAAACCCCCCAAGACCCAAATCAAAACCAACTCCCTGCTGCCCCACGGGTGTAACAGCTTTCCGTGACCAGAAGCAGGTAAGGTGGCCTATAACTGAAAAGAGTTCACATTCATGAATCACCAGACTCCAACATCCCCTGTGGAAGATTTCAACTAAATTGCCCCTAGCCCCTGTTATCAGTGCCCCAGCCTCAACATCTCACCCACATTAAACCCTATGATCCTGTTAAAAAGTGTCATTACTGGAGTTTCCCATCTCTCCCAGGTATTGGAAATACCAGTCAGATTACTTTTCCTGGAAAGAAGAAATCTGATTTTCTTCCAAGTCTGAAGATAAGAGAAGGTCAGACTACTGTTGCTTAAGCTGGACTGCAGAAAACCAACAACTTGGCTATAACAGCACTAGCACCAAGAACCTGTTGCTGGCATGCACATCCGTGTGCATACACCAATGCACATTGACACATTTCTACCTGCTGCCCACCACTTCACATCCTACCCCCTCCCAGGCTACTGAGAACAAGGGCAACCAGTAAGAGCAGCTGCTCCATCTCCTTGTACAGCAACCCTTGGAAGGACACTGCAGAATTCCACATTGCATATGTGTTCCACAGTTTTTACTGAATGCATAACTGACACCATAACAGCATTTCAGAAAACGGGATCCCTGAACTGCAAGTGGATCTTGTCATCTGGTCTCATAACCACTCCACTGTCTCATAATCACAAAGGAGCTTAACCTACAGTTGGAAGTTGTCGCCAGTCTGAGCAAATAAAAAGGACCACACTCACACTAGTAAACATATCTGTTTGAAGATGATCCTGAAAGGCTTTGGCAGAAGCTACCAATGGCATTCCATAAACATTTTCAGATTGAGAGCATCTGAGATTTCTGTAATTCTAATTTATCTTTTCATAGAATTCTAAAATAATTACGTTGACACCCATAAAGAACAGGGAAGTGTTAGAACTTTTCCTGTACTGTGCAGAATTGAACCACAGGTCAATGTCAGTCACAGACACAACAACCAGGGAAGTCTGAACACAAGTTTTTAGAAAACTGTCAGGCAATGGCTAAGAGCTCCCAAGTTGACTGACAGCAAAATGCAAGTCTGGGAGAGATACAATAAGCCCTGAAAGTGAAATATATCCTGTACTTACAGCTACATCATCCGTTACTTTGATACAGAGGTTCCCATCACAATGTCGGTATTTGAGAACAACCCGCACCTGAAATGACAAACATTTTTAAAATTAACATCTATAGCTAACGAATCTCAGAATATATCTGAAGGCAATTCGCCTAAATTCAGACTGCTTTATTAGGATTATGTACTTCTTCGCATTTGTGGCACCTCTGTGGTGGTCCTCAGCTCTGGTGGCCACTAATCCTACAGCCAGCATGGTGTGGAAATTGAACCATCACACCTCCCTGCCCAACATGTTAAACTGGTATTACAGCAGCATCGGGAAGCTTAACATTGGGCATGATAAAACCACTGTAAGTAGAGCAATGACAGCTGCAGAGACCTTAGCGGCAAGGTAAACTCCACGAGCAACATTAACACAAGACACCCCCTCACCATATACCATGGTTCAGAAAAACTTAACTGGAAGTTTGTGCTTATAAACTTGAAACACTTAAAAAAAAAAATAGGTCTGCATGAAGACTTGAAAGGGATTCACTGAGTGGGGTAAGCTCAACACTACCACTTTTTCTTCTACAGTACCTAAACTGTAGGTAAAAAAGTTGTATTTCCAGTCATTACAGTTACTTCAATAGCTGCACTGCTGCCTGCAAACAGAGTTGAAATGTTCTGATGTTTCTGTAAGTGGAAAGGTAAGATACAAAGAATAACACTTTTAGAGTAATTACAGTCAGAGGACTGAAGGGAATCCTTTCAAATTAAATTGCTTTCAAGACTCAATAAGGCTAAATTTAAAGTCTTAAAGCAAGCATTCAATTTCTCACTAGAACAGTTACTACTGTAGTCACCTGCCCTGAGCTTTAACCTGGCCACAGTCCCTCTGGATTCTCAAATCACCAAAGTTCTCAAAGCCATGGTGATAAAAATCAACATCCTCAGCAACTGACTGAGCATTAAACGCTTCCTTCTGACTGCAGAACTGGCCACAGAGACTTTATGTCTACTGTTTCTAGCCTCAGCTAGCATCAGTAACTAGAAACAAAGCAAGGTGTCCTTTTGAGAACATTCTGAACTCACACTATAAACAGGTCTTTGTTGTAATGGCCAACCTCCTTGACTACAAAATACATCCTGGAGCAAGAATTTAAAAATATATCTCATCACAGATTTATCCTTCTTGTTTAACAAACTGTCACCTTCCAACCGCAAGAGCTGTGTAACAGTACATCCCTCTGCTGAGCAGGCCCAAACGCACAAGAGGCTGCCTCAAGCAGCCAGCATGGATTTGACACATAACTCACTCCTGCAAAAGGCAGACCAGTCACTGCCTAGCCTCACAAGCATAGGAAGAGCATGCATCCATCTCCCATGATTCTTGTTCTTCCTTCAGTTCTTGCCAAGCCCAATCACACAGAAAAGCTCCTCAGGCTAGATCTCTGGCAAATTAAAAGAAGGGCACGTGTTGTGATTCTGAGGCCTATATAAACTCCTCTGCAAACAGACACCTTTACTGCCATGGATGAGAGGAGACTGTCTTTGAGGGCCCCTCTGGAAAAGGGGGAAAAGCAATTCCTGGCTGCAGTGACATTCTTCCTCTTTCATTTAATAGAATGTTACAGAGCATAAGACAGTAAAACAGGACAATTTTATTATCAGTAGATAGGCGGCAACTGCATATGAAGCAGTCACTTATGCTCATGTGCCCTATTTTTAGTGACAAAAACTAGGTCTTTTTTATTGACGTTTTCTTAGGCATATGAATTTCACGTTACTTTCTGTGCTGCTTTTTGGCTCAATTATGTTTTTTCTGAAGACTGAAGTTACTTTTAACATCTGCACAAACTATTCTCCTAAACAAGTTACCAGAAACAAAAAGCAGTTGTAAACCAAGTTAGTTCCTAGAGCAATTACCTTTTAGGAAGCAAACACCTTCCAGTCTGAAATGACACTGCAGGTAACAACACAACGTAAAAGCTAATGAATGCTTTGATGTTTTAGGAAGACAAATTAAAATGATACAGTCTTAAGTGTTGTAAACTCATTAAACAAACCAATTTTCGATACACTTTTCATTCAGCAGAACTTTTAAGTCCGGATTCTGACACACAGGTACACTCTAAATAAACACAGCGTCTCTGGAGGTGGGTTCTAGAGGTTTATACCTGTCGCTGGTAACATCACCTGAAACACCATCCCCGACGTACGTTTTTGGGGTGTTCAGTGAGAACTTCCGTTCCGTGAGAAAAAAAGATCAGGGTGACACCACGAGTAACCCCCCTCCCTTGGCGGGCGCGGCACAACTGCGGTCGCTGCAACGCGCTCCCCGGCCCTGCCGGGACTTAGGGCACCGCCTACCTCCACGGGCGGCCAGAGCGAGAGC